TGAAAAAAATGCTTTCAAAAAGAAGTAAAACAATTTAGGCTTATTTTCATGCTGGACTTTATTCTATCCAGTAATTTAAAGAATTAATTTGTCCTTACATCAAAATTTAAAAAATATGAATCGGATATGCCAGTTGTGCAAGAACAAATCAAATGAACTGATTGAAAACAATTGCACAAATGAAAAAACATCTTATTTGATTGTGAAACACTAAAAAACAATCATCATTTCAGATGTCGGCCTTTCAATTTTTATTTTGAAATTCCAGATAAACTTTGCCTCAGATGTCATCACGCATAGGCCAAAAAAATTAATAGTTCTGCTTCCGGTTTCCCTACAAAATGTACCTACCCTATTCTGACAGCCCCTACCCTAATTTTTTTATTGGAAAAATGAGAAAAAAACACCCAAAACCATCACTTTATACCTTTTTCCCTTGACTACACGCAGATGCCTCCATATGATTGTACACAAAAAAAATTGGCAAAAAAAAAATGTCCCTTCCTACCTACCCAATTTTCAAATGCCATGTAATCGGAAGCAGAAGTTTGTTTTGGTTTTTTTGGCCTAAGCCTAGTCCATTATATAATACTCACCTTCTTTACTAGTGGGATAATCCAGACGTCACTGTAACCGTGGCAACCAACTTCAAAATTGTAAAACCCGCATGTCAGCTAAACTACCGTACATTTCGACCCAAACTACAAAAACATTATGAAGTCGGCACAATATTTCCAGGCGTAGAACAAGGAAATAGACAGTTCTGATGGACGAAGACGATTTGCGTTTTTCTCTCACTGTGCTAGCTAGTCAATTAATCCAAAACATAAACCAGCACTATTTTCTTTTCATCAATTGACGTCTTGTGCACACACACTGCACAAGAGTTTACATGTACCGGGTACAGTCTGGACTGGCCTGAAACCGACTGAGCAAACATCGATCTTAAAAGCTTTTTATCCTGTTGGCCGACAAACACACGCCTCACAAGTCCCCTTTGAGATGCCCGAGGGTCCAATTTCACGAAGACATTCAGCAGAATAATACCGCTTACCAAAGTTTTGTGTTAAGCATACCGTAGTAGCAGCAAACCGGTTGAACTCAATATACATGTACATCCAATGCAATTTTAGCTGGTATCCAGTTATTGTTAAGCAAATAATTTCAGCGCTTAGGAAATATCTTTGCTTAATTTGCTCCCCCCCCCTAACCTTTCTTAAGTGGGAAGCAGGTCTCTAGTGAGTTTGCTTGAAAATTCCCAAGTACTACATAAGCTGTGAACAGAGAGTCTCAACATACCAGTAGCTCCCAATCTGACAATTTATCCTGTTGGCCGACAAACACACGCCTCACTAAGTCCCCTTTGAGATGCCGGAGGGCCCAATTTCACGAAGACATTCAGCAGAATAATACCGCTTACCAAAGTTTTGTGTTAAGCATATAGTAGCGTAGAACCGGTTGCAGTGAATATACAATGTACATCCATTTATGCAATGTTAGCTGGTATCCAGTTTGTTAAGCAAATAATTTCAGCGCTTAGGAAATATCTTTGCTTAATTTGCCCCCCCCCCCCTAACCTTTCTTAAGTGGGAAGCAGGTCTCTAGTGAGTTTGCTTGAAAAAAACCATACTACATAGGGCCTAAGCTGTGAATAGAGAGTCTCATGTATGTCTCTAGAGATACCACTGTACCAGTAGCTCCCAATCTGACATTAAACGTCTGAAGCTAAAAGCATTCCTCGTGTTTACAGATGCGACAAAGTGGACATCAGAACGGAGGGAATGACACTCCACATCATCTAATTTGTTCCTGTCGCTGAGAGGTTTTTCTCTATCAAAACTGGTTCGGGCAATTGACAAATTGGCTGACATTTAGACAGGATGGGGGAGGAGGGCAAGGGGTGGAGGGGGGGGAAGGGGTGGAAGGGGGGGGGTGGAGGGGGGGTGGAAGGGGGGGGCAAGGGGAAGGGGCAAGGGATGTGGGCCAGGGGTTGGGATGGAGGTGAAGGAGGGGGGTGAGGATATCAGGGATGAAAGAAATGTTAAGGGAGCACTGACCAGTCTTTTCAGGAAGCACTCAGGAACCTTAGAAAGCATTTGTACATGTAGTGATCGGGATGTACATTTTGTAAGTCCACTCTGACATGCCTGAAATTTGAGGTACCGGTACTGTACGAAAGAGACGTACATAATGCACAATTGTATGTTGCCAATATGTTATTTAAATTTGAGGAACGTGAAATCGGTCAGTTGTGCGAGGACTTGTAACTCCACCCCAGGTGATGACATTTTTCTGAATATTAACAGTGGAAATATCTTGTCTACATGTACATTTTTAAGCAATTATTTATCATCTTTAGGTTATAAATCGTGTGTGTGGGCCCCTCTTTGGTTTTGACCAAATTAGAGTCAAAGGTGTTTTTTATACTGTTGTAATTCAAAAATTACCTTTTTAACCTAAAGCAGACTAATTTCGCTTATCATTACACCTTATTTGTAATTTTGAACAGTTTTTGGCGTAGAAATTACAATTTTCGGGAACAGTTAATAGTTGGTGTTGTGCGATTCAGTGCGCCATGCTCATTCAGGGCTCATTTGCCATCTTTATTTTCATGAACATTGCGTTTTGTCATTGTTATCATCATGTTACCGCCAACATTCCCTAAAAAAATTCAAAACCCTGCCCTCTATCTATGACATACCCTGAATGTTCTGACTGTCACCAACTAGTTTGGAGAGTTAAAAAATTAAAAGTGGATTTTGTTCTTTTACAGGGAACGGGGCCCATCACCAACTAGGCCTAATCCATAAAGATTGTAGTTCTTTTTTAATTAAAACAACAAAAACATGTACCCGGTTGTGACGGTACTTGTACATGTATAGCTACATGTAAAGGTATCGGTATCAATATTAAACCTTGGATCATCTTTGTCCTTATTGACTTAAAAACATGGCCTATTTTTAGCCGAGGGAGCTTTTAAAAATTGAGTAACATCAATTTTTACTCCAACAAATTGATGAAGATGTTTCTCCTATTTTGGTAACTTTGGAGAGGTGTAGAAATAATGAAAAGAATTCAAACAATATGAACACAGAACTTCTAGAGCTTTCTTTGAATTTAAAATACCTTGCAGATTAAAAAAAAAGTGAAAATTTGTCTGATATTATTGGCTGGTGGGTGTTTGTGCACGCACTTGTAAATAAAACAAAGTTTTCCATTTTGACCACAAGAGGGGGCTATTTCATTTTTTCAGTACGTACATGTACAATCTTTCAGCTGATGATGAGAAGCAAATGGTTGCAGACCAGTAAATAAATTTCCATAGACCCCAATAAAAAAAATACTCACAACTCTCCAAGATGTTCAAGACGTACCTCAAATTAAAGCTTATTTCATCATCTTTCGTTAAATTTCCGTCCAAAGATGATCACCCCTTAATCACCCCATTTTAAAAAACGATGCCTACACTCCGTTGCAAAATAGAGCGCTTTAAGGGCCCCAATTTCATCCCAATTCCACAGAAATACAAGCTCACAGTCCTGTGCACGGCTTCCACCCATATTTTTTACAAACCCTCAAGTTCATGGCCAACAAAATGATCAAATATTGAAGAATTGAAGGTCATGCAAATCGTGATTTGGCCGTATCGTGACCGTAGGCAATTTCGGACTGATTTACTGGCCTGCAACCAAATGATTGTGTACATCCGTGCAGAACTTCAATGTAATTATTCCACAGAATCTTGCAAATAGAAACCTGCTGAATTCACATAAAATAACACAGCAAACCAATAAATCCAACAGAAATTCTTTATTTTTTGGAAAATTTCTAAGCCAGTTTTCTGTTCCTAAATATGTAACTGTATACAACTGCATGCTTGTCAAAACCTGTACAAGTCGATTAATTGACACGAATGTACCCTGAATGCACCATAACCAAAACAACCGCTCTTAATTACGCTGATGAATTTAATACCACTGTCTCTGGAATGGACAGCTCGTCCTTGATTTTAAATTGCATCCTTCAATTAACTAATGGCCATTGCAAGCTTGAAAGCCTTGGCGGTGAAACAAAAACGCGTAGAGCAATGTTTAGAATAATATGATAATCAGCACGTTCAGGAAGAAGAGATACCTCATTAAAATTCTGTGTTTTTAACAAATTTCTCTACACACAAAAACTTTCTTCACTGAATGTTTTCAATGAAATTTTGTACAGATAGTTCGGTACTTCAACAATTTCAAATCAAATATATTCAGTGTGTGCTAGTGCTACCGGTAATATCATCAGCAAATTTATACGTAATTAACGGTAATTACACCGGTACAACATTTGCTTTTGCTGTAATTTTCAGAAATGGATGGATTTGGGGAGTTAGTATTTTATAGCAAATATTGTTACACTGACTTGTTTGAAGTTTTGTGTTCGCAGACTATTGGGAAAAAAAGAAGAAGAAAAATGGTGTTTTTGAAGTCTGGATCCCTGACCCTACGGTACATGTACTTCAGACAAAAAGGAGCAGTTTATAGACATCGGGAATTGTCAGGTCAGGGAACCAGACTAACCGGCTTGAACCCGTTCACGGATGTGTAACAGATTGCAAACAAAATGTGAACTAACTCACTTTAGTAAATTGGGGGCAGTATTTGTTGAAGTCAATATTTTCCAAGGATGGCTGGCTGACCATCGTTGGAATTTGTTCCAAACATTCAACTTTTCTTGGAAATGACAGCACACCAAGTGCCATGATTTCACAGGATGCTTGAGACAGTCAAGTATTAGATACAAATGAACATGTATTTCATAATAATTTCATAGTTTTTTGTACAGGTATGTTTGCAAATGTTGTATTTTACCTTGACGAAATCTTAGGCCAACAATACTTTCGTAAGTCGTTTTGTATTTTTACTTCTGCAGGGGGTAATTATGAATGGAGCCATGAATATGGAATGACATCATTAACATGTATGTAAATTTATGCAAATTATCAAAGTACTTACTGATTCTTCAAGTCGTGATATTTCAACTTCTTCTTTCTTCGCTGCCGTTCCTTTAGCTTTACGGTGAAGTTTCTGATCCTCAAACGAGAGACTTTTCTTCTTCGCGTTTCTTCTGCTCTTTTTCAAACCCCCGTTCATCATCGCCGATAAATCCGTCTCGCTGTGACAGGTGTTCTTGGAAGGAAGACTGGACCCCCGCGGGAGCGAGGTGTAGTCCGAGTCCGAGTCCTGCGACAGCTCTGATTGGCTGAATGACAGACAGGACCCGCCCACGTCCTCCGTTGATTGGCGGTCGCGGGTGTTGCGGAAGGAGTGCCACCGTCGGACCGGGTTGGTCTTCTTCTTGAAACTTTTCCAGAGACTCCGTCTCTTGTGTCGGTCCAAGGCGGGCTGCGACTGCGCGGAGGTTAGGGCGCCCTCGGGTGGCTTGTCTAGCTCATCGTTGCTGGACATCGTCACATCCTCTGAAATGTTGAAACAGAACTAAATAAGACTGGCCTGAGCAGTAAAGTGTAAGATATTATTTTTGAAAATGTAGCACACAGGTTATTGTTGATGTACCAGTACCCTAACGTGGCGCACGCCCCGACATGACACACTTTGATTTTTCGCCTCTAGTGCCTTGTGAGGGCAAAATCGTTACCTCATATTTCAGAGAAAGTGAAATTTCATCAAGCTCTAAACATTCCCGTTCATAAATCTTGAGTTTACGCTTCAAAGTTCCTGAGAAATTTACTTTTGGAGAGATTTTCAAATTTTGTTTTTGAAGCGCCCAAAAATAAGAAAATAATTTTCTGACAAATTTGTTGATTGCGTATGTGAGTATATATAAAAATAATTAATCAGAATTTATCAGTTTTAAAGAAATTCTTAAATGTTAACTTGGCTTTTTCCGAGATTTATTCAAGTGCGCCACGTTAGGGAACACTCGGCCGAATTTGTGCCCAATTTTCGGATGTCGCCGTTTTTGCATTCCGTACTAAATTTCATGACACTGAAGTTGTTCACAAAGGTTCAACAGCAATCATTATTAAGGTAATTAGTTCCAGTATTTAACTGAATGAATTTGAAATTACTCAACAAAGAGGTTTGGCAACACTGCATGAGGAAAGCCGAGGGAAACGTTAAAGTGCGCCACATTAGGGAACACCACTATCAACGGAATCCTTTGGGGTATACTGGTACATGTAAACACATTTCCCATAATCATGCACGCCTAAATATTACATTATTCTGTTACATCAAGGACAAACTTGATGATCCACACTATTCCACAGCACTTAGCAGCCAGACGACTGCTGTTGTTACGGCTGGCTAGGTAGTAAAATACGACATTGAGATGACTATTAAGAGGGTTACGAATTGTGCTGGTTGAATTGTTGTGGTGACACTACATGTACGATGTACTTTCCTGACTAGAATGGATGGGCGGGGACAGTGAGGTGTGGGGGGGGAGATATGGCCAAACTCACTCGTCTCTGTCCTTATCCCATTCCAAATAAGTATAAATTCAAGCCAAGCCCTGGATATTGGTAGAACTACAGGTTCATGTAGCAAATCATGTTGCCAGCGTGCTGAAACATACATTTAACGTACTCTACATTTAACTCTCATGCACTGAGACTGTATCTAGATTTTTGTAATCAATGCAAAGTCCATGACAAAAACAAATTTTTGAATGATTTTTTTCTTCTTCATAGTTTAGCAAAGGGAAACAATATGAACCAATGACAAATTCAGTGGCAGCCATTTTCTGCGTCGGCACCAGGCTTGTGCGAATCGCGATCGGGGATTACGCACGCAATCCAGGCACATTCGACCAATAGGAATACCAACATGCGCACGCGCCTCGTCTTTATAAGAACGCGTGCAGCATGCACCGCAGTAACGCCTGCTAATTCTGGTCGCCAGATTCCACTAAACTCAACTCAGTGACAGTTGTTGAAACGAAGGTCAGCATCATAGACACACATGTGGTGCTGATAAATCTATGACCTTTGACCTATTGATTAATCAATTAATGACCAATATACGCCCTTGTGTGCAGCAGTAATAGTATTTACAGTAGCTATTGAACTTGTGGTTTATCACATGGCTGGCACGCCGATATATGTAAATAGGCAGATTTTAACGATTTGATTTTAATCTCTCGTTTGCTTTGAGTTTGAGTGTTTTCTGAAATCTTATCATGGACATGGTGGACAGGAAACAATCTACGCTGTTTATACAACAAACAGTCCCGACTCCATCAAAGTCCTACAAAAACAATAGTTAGAGTTTGATGGATTTGGAATTTAAAAAAATATCGATCTATTTAACCACAGCACACATTCAGGCTGGAGATTTTTAAGTCCCTAACTCCCTAGGCCTTTTTGCTAGGATGTAGCCTCAATCCTGCAAAAGGCCTCCAATTGGCCTCATGGAAAAAAAGCATTTAGCCTCAATCCTGCAAATTCCTCTGTTATTTCTTGAATATGGTCCATGGAGGGGTGACCACTGCCTGAATCCTGCAAAATCCTCCGGCTATGACTGTCAATAGGCTGAGGCAGAGGCAGTGACATCCTGGAGCAGTGCGGAGGATGTCAAGCATAACCAAGGACTAAATTTATGCACGGCTGAGCATAAACAACACAAGGTCCGGCCCAAGACCTTGACACAGTGCGTACTCCGAAATCAGCAACGCACTTTTGCCATGTAACCTGAGCAATCCTGCAAATTCCTCCAATTTGCAAAAAGGATTTGGAGGATTCAGGGCGGTTAGGGTTTTAAAAAACTTTTTTAAAGATTTATCGATAGAATATTTTTTTGAAACAATTTAAAAAGATTTTCCATTTTCCACATCATAAATATTTATTTGAATTTTTATGGATTGGTCTTGAAAAAGTTCAAGAAATTGCTGGTTGCGCACTACATGTACATGTGTATCCTGTAAGGCGGAGTAAAAAAAATTAAAAATTCTCGTCCGGGCCTTTAAAAAAAAATGAAGGATGCAGCTTTTTCCTTTCTTTTTTTTCCCAAGATGGCGGTTGGATTCTTCCATTTTGTAGACTCTTTTGCTGATAATACAAAATTGTTTCCACACGAGCCATTACCCTTTCTACACAGCTATAATTTTGTCAGAAACAAATAAAAAGACAAACTATTGATTGACAAAATTGAGCAAATGTATGAAATTTAAAGGGAATACACATCATTTGCTTTTGCTGTAATTTTCAGAAATGGATGGAATTGGGGGGTTGGAAATATTTATATAGCAAATAGTTACACTGACTTTTTTGAGGTTTTGGGTTCAAAAATGTTATAAAAACCAAGAAAAACAATCATTTTCCTGTAGTCTGGATCCCTGACTCCATTTAAGAAGAAACAGAGCAGTTTACATACATTGGGGAATTGTAAGGTCAGGGAACCAGTCTAGCTGGCTTGTACCCGTTCATAGGTGTATAATCGATTGCAAACAAGTGCGATGGTCAACTGGGGCCAGTATTTGAAAAAAAAACAGTTTTTTTCAACGCTGATCGGCCGATCAGCGTTGGAAATCGATACAAAAATACCACTTTTCTTGAAAATGACAGTATACCAGGTGCCATGACTTTACAGGATGCTTTACACTGTCATTCACTAACAGTCCAGCAAGGTATTTCAAAATGATTTGGTAGTTTTATTTGTTGATGTTTGCAAATGTTGTATTTTCCCTTTAAGAAAAAGGGGGGGGGGGGTGGAAAAAAAGGAAGCAGGCAGTGAGGAGAAACTGTATAATTTTTTCACTTGGCCTAACTTGTAATTGTTTTTTGATACACATCTGATGAGAGTACAAATGAGGACATACATGATGTTCAAGCAAAGAGTCACTGTTTTACCAGGCTACACGTACATTTTTCCAGGCAAGCTCTAAGGCCAAAATCATAAAAAAGCAAGACGTCTATGACAGACTGTGTACAATGTACATGTACCATGGCTGGGGGTATTATATTCCCTATTTTATTCTACCAGCACACTTTATCCAGGTAGGCCTATCATTAACATTCCTTTTAAAGGTAGTGTCCATCATTTGTAATTTGTGCATTATGTTCGTTTGAAGCAACAAAATTTTAAGTGCTCAAGTTATAAAGACGGGTGCTGAACAACTAACCTGATGAAATTTCATCTCAGTGAACAGTACTGGTATATTCCGAGAAAACAATATTCTAGGATCTCGATTTCAAATCAAACTAGCTGCCGAGTCGAGTTTTAAAGTGGGCCTGAATTCAGCGTCCGAGACACGTTCTCACTGAGCCGAATGCAGCTACGCGATGTCGCGTCGTGTTAACGCTTGCACGCACGCTTCGCCGGATTAAAAACCAACTATTAACCCTAACTCCCTAAGCCTTTTTGCTAGGATGTAGCCTCAATCCTGCAAAATCCTCCAATTGGCCTCATGGAAAAAAAGCATATAGCCTCAATCCTGCAAATTCCTCCGTTATTTCTTGAATATGGTCCATGGAGGGGTGACCACTGCCTGAATCCTGCAAAATCCTCCGGCTATGACTGTCAATAGGCTGAGGCAGAGGCAGTGACATCCTGGAGCAGTGCGGAGGATGTCAAGTATAATCAAGGACTAAATTTATGCACGGCTGAGCATAAACAACAAAAGGTCTGGCCTAAGACCTTGACACAGTGCGTACTCCGAAATCAGCAACGCACTTTTGCCACGTACAATGTAACCTCAATCCTGCAAATTCCTCCAATTTGCAAAAAGGATTGTGGAGGATTCAGGGCGGTTAGGGTTAACAGAAATTTCCAAGAATGTGTCTTTAGACGCATCGCCAGTTCCTTTTTGGATAGAGCTGCAAATGATGGACTATACATGTACATTAGCTTTAACTCTATGCTGCAACAAAATTGCAACATACCCTGCAGTTTCAAAACTGTTTAATTCATAACTGCAAAAAAGTGCATCTATCAGACACAATATTTGTTCTATTTATAATATATGGAACAAATTATATGAATGGCTCGTTAAAGTTAGAGTAGATTTACAGCTATCCAGAGAGTAACAGACCAAATTATTGTTGAAAAGCTGACTTGGTTGAAGATAGTAATGGCACTAAACTCCCTGTGAAATTATTCTTTCTTGCATGCTGTCATTTGAAGAAAACAAAAAAAAGGTCATTTCCAAAGATGCGTCTAAAGACGCATATTTGGGAATTTCCGTTAGTAGTTTGTTTTTAATTTGGTTGTAAGTACGGTACATGTGTGTAAGCGTTGACACGATGCACATGCACGCACAGTTGCTATAATTCGTCGGTTCAATGTGTGACATCGCGTAGCTGCAATCGGCTGAATAAGGAGGTGTCCAAAACACTAATTTCAGGCGTAATTCAGAACATTACTTGGCAAGTTTTGAATTGAAATCGAGATCCCAGAATATTGTTTTCTCGGAATATACAGCATCCGCAGGGCTAAAACTTCATCTCAGGTTAAATGTTAAGCACCCTTTTTGAGCACAAATTTGTTGCTTCATGCAAACAAAAGAAATTCACAAATTACAAATGATACCTTTTTTAAAACTTGAATTTGGGACAGCCTATCAATACATGCACACATTTATACACATGTACCAATACAATTTCAAATACAAAGTATCATTTATATTCTCTGTTCATGCTCTGTGTTGGTTTAACACAAATTCATTAAAAACATCTGAAACAGCTGTGTTTGTCCATGTGACAATCACATTTCTTTTTATTCTTTGTCATGCTCTGTGCTAACACACAAAAAGGAAGAATACATTTCTGATTTGAAAACATAAAATTGATCAACTGAATCTACTCACTACTCCACAATTCCGATCTTGTACTTTCTCGGTCATATTCCTCCATCTTAGGGCACTTAAATTAACGACTTGGAGCCAGCGAAGCGCAACGTGTGCACGACTAAACGTGTCTTCGCGTCACCTTAACGACGGTGCAGGAGACTGAGTAATGTTGGCGTGACATCGCGAGCTATACGTGAAGGCGTTGTGTTTGGTAATTAATAATTCACTCCGTACGGAGAGACATTACGTTGGGTATCTCTGTACAGACACTAGCCCAGCGGCACACACGAAGCATAATTTCTGAACTTTGGTCGGACAGGGACCACCATGACACCAGATTTCAATTCACTTGGTAATGTCAACATGTGGGTAGGCACCCATGCTATTCAACATTCTGAGCCTCTTTTGTGACGATGTTCAAGCTATTGAACTTCAAACTGAAAGGTGTCCTCAAGTGATAAGCATTTTTGTGTCAACAATTTATGAAAAGATTATTCCGTGCAAACGGTGCAAATGATATCACATTCTAGGCATTTTCAGATAAGGAATTAAGTCAACTTAAGTTAAAGGGCTCTGGGTCAAAAATCATGCTATTAATAATTTAGAATTGATAACTTTGTTGAATTATAAACTTAAATCAAACGTTTCACTTTTATTCATCTGTAGATTGGCATTTGCAGAATTGGAATCTAGCCAAGGTTAGGGTCTGAATAAAAAATCAAAGACATTACTAATTGTATTACATAGTGCCCGTATTTTTTGAATAATGGGTAAAATGTGTAAAATTAAAAAATAACATTTTGACACAAAAGATTTTTTAGCTTCATCCAACTAATTCTGCTTGAAAATGCAATTCGTTTCGGTATTTTTTTTTAACAAATATTGGAAAAATCTTTGTGTTTGGTTGGCCCATACACGAACATGAATGAATTCCACCTATTTTATGCATTATGCACATTAACATGAATGCATTTGTGCGTCCTACTCGTTAAACACAGGACCTTGGGTTTATGTACATGTAGATATTATTTCAGCGCATTACGGCATAGCCACCTGTTTTACATACATACATCAACAAGCAATTGGAACAGACTTTTGAGTGGTTATAGCCATCTACATACACAACGTATTGTGCGTATGTATCCTACTATCTACGTGTACGTGAATTACAATGTACATATAATGAAGAGTGAAAGTGATCAATTTGCTAAAAAACTTTCAAGATAATTTTATTATGTAGTTGTCAGTACAAATTACATGTATAAGAATTACGGTCTGTACATGCAGTATACTGGGTGGGAAAAAAAACAAAAAAACGAGATATTATTGCTAATTGGAACAGAAGTAGGGCACATGTGAATCAAAGGGAGATATCCTCTGTTAGGGTTGAATCTCCTCTTTAAAATGACACCCTGATCATGTCATTACATTCACGGTTGACTAAGCAGTGACCAATTTTATGCAAGGGTCTTTTTAGCGGCTTGCGCCACTTTTCATGGTGAAATCTCTTTTTCCCCCACCTGCCTTGATTGGCAACAGCCTTTCACTCTGTGACAATTGACACAACAAAAACCACAACCAGACCAAGTCATGCACATGATGTAAAAGTCTGTTCTTATAATGCATAACTACTCAATGTGTGACTGTCAATTGAGCAGGATTCCCATTATTTTGTTGAACGTCAGTTGGTGCATGGAGCATTTTAGCATGTGGAACACCCATTTGTGTGCAGTACGGTGCTAGCCCCAATGCGAAATGTGTGACCTTGTGACCCAATTTTCCATAACTGGGTCATTCTAAAAATGTGGGGTCCAAAGTGTGACATTTTTCCCGTCCCTGTTAGGCCAAAAAAAAAAAATAACAGCGTTGCTGTTGAAACCCCTCAGCCAGAGTCAAGTTATCATCCGGAATCCATTAACCTTTAACTCACGTGGTGACCTTGACCTTTGGCCTTTGACCCCAGAACCAGTCCCAACATGCCTGTACCAATGGGAAACCCCCTACCGAAGTTAGACACCAACATTTCATTTCTAACTCAAGTTATCATTCGGAACCATTTACATTGAACTCACCACGGTGACCTTGACCTTTGACCTTTTGACCCCAAAACCAATCCCAACTTGCCTGTACCCAAGGGCAAACCCCTACCTCAGTCAGACACCAAAATCTCATTTCTAACTCAAGTTATCATCCGGAAACCATTTACCTTTAACTCACCATGCTGACCTTGACCTTTGACCTTTTGACCCCCAAACCAATCCCAACTTGCCTTCTCCCAAGGGGAACCCTCTTCCAAAGTTAGACACCAAAATTGCATTTCTAACTCAAGTTATCATCCGGAAACCATTTACCTTTAACTCACAATGGTGACCTTGACCTTTGACCTTTTGACCCAAAAACCAATCCCAACTTGCCTACTCCCAAGGGCAACCCTCTACCAAAGTTAGACACCAAAATCTCATTTCTAACTCAAGTTATCATCCGGAAACCATTTACATTTAACTCACCACGGTGACCTTGACCTTTGCCCTTTTGACCCCAAACCCAATCCCAACTTGCCTACTCCCAAGGGCAACCCCCTACCAAAGTTAGACACCAAAATCTCATTTCTAACTCAAGTTATCATCCGGAAACCATTTACATTTAACTCACCACGGTGACCTTGACCTTTGACCTTTTGACCCAAAAACCAATCCCAACTTGCCTACTCCCAAGGGCAACCCCCTACCAAAGTTAGACACCAAAATCTCATTTCTAACTCAAGTTATCATCCGGAAACCATTTACATTTAACTCACCACGGTGACCTTGACCTTTGACCTTTTGACCTCAAAACCAATCCCAACTTGCCTACTCCCAAGGGCAACCCCCTACCAAAGTTAGACACCAAAATCTCATTTCTAACTCAAGTTATCATCCGGAAACCATTTACATTTAACTCACCACGGTGACCTTGACCTTTGACCTTTTGACCCCAAAACCAATCCCAACTTGCCTACTCCCAAGGGCAACCCCCTACCAAAGTTAGACACCAAAATCTCATTTCTAACTCAAGTTATCATCCGGAAACCATTTACATTTAACTCACCACGGTGACCTTGACCTTTGACCTTTTGACCCCAAAACCAATCCCAACTTGCCTACTCCCAAGGGCAACCCCCTACCAAAGTTAGACACCAAAATCTCATTTCTAACTCAAGTTATCATCCGGAAACCATTTACATTTAACTCACCACGGTGACCTTGACCTTTGACCTTTTGACCTCAAAACCAATCCCAACTTGCCTACTCCCAAGGGCAACCCCCTACCGAAGTTACAACCCCAAACAACATTTCTAACTCAAGTTATCATCCGGAAACTAAGCTGCCCGGACGGACGGACGGACGGCCCGACATACATCCGGACGGACGGACGCCCTAGGCGATGACAATACCCCTCGAGCCTCTCGGCTGAGGGGTAAAAAGTCTCCAGTTTCTGGTATGCGCGCGCGTCGTCGTAGCCATGCGCGTCGGCAAAATGAAAAAGGTTTTTTTTTCAATACAAGATGATGTCTCAAAACCGCCAAACTCACTGGTTTGACTGGAATCCTGCTGCTGCACAATTTTAACGTGTTTTTAGATGGGGTTATGATCGAGAATAAGCTTTATGTGGCCTCTCTGGACTATATATTTTCCACTAAGTTTAGTCGGGCACCATTTGCAGTTATCAGCCGACATTTGAAGCCAAAAAAAAAAAAAAAAAAAACAGGTAAAAAAAAAAAAAAAAAAGCCGCGTCGCCGCACCACTTTTGGGGCAAGCTCTATACCAGAAACCGGAGACTTTTTTTTTTGGCCTTACCTTGGTACTTTGTAATTTGCCATTCAAGCATCATTAAAAGTGACTTCAAATGATTGTTTATTTGTTGGGTAGGTAGTTTGCTATTCATAATCACTCTTGGAGGATGACTGCATTAAGGAGTGCATCAGAATTATACAATCATACTCATAGATGTCAGATGTAACAGGGACGGAAAAAAAGAGGACCCCAAATTTATAGAATGACGCATCTGCAATCAACTGGTAGCTATGTTACGCCCAAACTATGGTATCGATCCCAACTAGTTGGAATCGTCCCAATTATAGTTAGACGGTCCCAACTGTAGTTCCACAGTTGGGCTGGCCCAACTATAGTTGGGAGTCATCAAGGGGGCCCATCTATAGTTGGGCCATTCCAATCTGTTTATTTTGCGATGTCCCAACTATAGTTTACATTGATGTACGACTATAAAACATTCCCTACAACTCTGATACACGTCTGACTTTACTTGGGACCAATGAAATTAGCTATGGGTGGGGCCCATATCTGGGCCATGCCAATCTTTGAATTTTGCATAAAAAAATGTCGCAGGACTATAAAAACCCAGCTGGACAACTCATCCAACTAGGCAGTACCACGTGGCCGGCCAGCCCTGCGGCACGCGTGCACGACGAATACATGGTGCCAGCGCCGCGGAACATTTAACACCCTGTATCGAGCGTCCGGCGCAACTCCAGTCCTAACTATAGTTGGGCCGACCCAACTGCCGCACTCTAGTTGGGACAGTCCCAACTATAGTTGGGACCGATGCGATAGTTGGGGCGTAACAGCTACATGTATAGTCAGTGGGGACCTGAAACACGACTTGTTGCCAGGGCCTAATAGGGACAAGGTGATTGATTGCCAAAAACGGCATTTGGTAAAGTTTGTTACTAACTAACCAACCAAACCAATGGAGGGACATGAGGAGAGTCAGGTTGGCGTAGTGGTAACTTCCTCGCCTTTCACGGCTGTGACCCGGGTTCGAATCCTGCCTGGGCCAATATGTGGATTGGGTTTTCAGTCCCTGCCTGATTCTGTGAATCTGTAACTTCTTCTCATTGTCTTCTCTCCACAGGTTTCTTCAGGCTTGCAAGCTACAGTGCCTAGGGCGCTTTTGAGGAATCCTTGGTTTCATTACCAGAAATGATTAATAATAATAATTATATAACAGTAGAGCTGCTTTCCCACAGCTGAAAGAGTTCTCTGTTTTATTTTTTGCTAATTGACCTGTGGCTGAAGCCAATATGCTAGAGTAACAGTGGGCCTAATTGACGATTCACTTCGTAGCTTGTGGTTTCGCCTGTGATATGCAAATGGTCAGGTGATTCATCTTTCATGGCCAGAGTCATTTACATAATTAATCACTAATCTTATAGTTTTGCTCAAATGTTGGCATTGGACCTTGTGAATTTCTCACAGTATGCATGCAATTTAAAGGCAATATGGTACAAGCCTGTTACATAAAATCCATCAGAATTCAACTAAACAGATGAACAAAATTCAACTATAATTGCCAGGCATTAGATCATGTAGGATGCCGTAGGGTATACATCGATCAACTTACCA